GTGTGTGTGACCTTGACACTGGTACTTGAAGTAGGATGAGGTAGTCCTTGGAGGTATACAGGGTGAGGTGGTGGGTTGATGCGGTTTTGGGGTAGGGTGAGGTGATGTTTGGAGGCGAGGCGATGTGTGGGATGATATATGGAGAGGTACTGTGGGTGGCAGGGTTGTCCGGGTAGTGAGGTGATGTTTGGAGGCGAGGCGATGTGTGGGATGATATATGGAGAGGTACTGTGGGTGGCAGGGTTGTCCGGGTAGTGAGGTGATGTTTGGAGGCGAGGCGATGTGTGGGATGATATATGGAGAGGTACTGTGGGTGGCAGGGTTGTCCGGGTAGTGAGGTGATGTTTGGAGGCAGAGATTGGGGGGTGGTGGATGAGGAAGAACATAAGAACATAAGAATGGAGGAAACTGCAGCAGGCCTATTGACCCATACTGAACAGTCCCATTTACACCCAACCCCTATTGCTCATATAATCATCCAACCTATTGTTTGAAGCTATTCAGCGTATTCGAGTTAATGATGATGTTTGGTAACTTGTTCCATTCATCCACTACTCTGTTTCCAAACCAGTGTTTACCTATTTCGCGCCTAAATGTAAATTTGTCTAATTTAAAACCATTGTTACGAGTTCGCTGCTGGTTGGATAGTTTGAGTACCTTTGTTATATCACCTTTGTTTCGGCCTGACTTCCATTTATACACCTCGATCATATAACCCCTCACTCTACGAGAGGAGTAGGTGGGGTGGAGTAAGAGCAAGAGGAAAAGGAAGAGGAGGAGTTTGGGATGCAGTAAGAGTAGGAGAAAAAGAGGAGTTAGGAGTGGAATAAGAGGAAGAGGAGAAGGAAAAAGAAGAGGAGGGATGAGGAGGGAGGAGGAGAAGGAGGGGGGTAAAAGTAGAACACGAATACAATTGTCAATACAGCAAATTAAGTTAGTTATACCGTTAACACCTTGTTAGTTGGGCCAATTTGATCACTGGGTTTAATCTTCTCTCTGAATAAAAGGAAAAAAAATATCTATCTCTCTTTTCACAATTCTTGTTCTCTTTTTAGTATTGAAACTGAAGATGGAATTTTTTTTTTCCTCTTTTACTTCTGTTTTCTGTGGTTATGCTGACATCATTAATTACTAACATTTGTGATAGTTGTTTTAAATAAGATCCGGAACTCTTTTGGTGACAGGGTTGATGTAAACACTTCTTGCTAGTTTTCCTTTATTGGCGAATCAAATATATACACACAGTTGTAATATGAGAGAATCAATTATGAATTCTCTCCAGCTGACCAACGCTCGACCTCTGTGATAGTTACAAGCTCAGCCATGAATAATCGTCAACAACTGAGTCATTGTTGAATAACTCGCTGAATAAGTTGGTGTTATTCATTTGGGTGAATATTTATATAAAGCAAAGGTGCTGTTACACATTTCTTTGGATTCATAAAACTCTTTCACTTAAAATTCTCAAACCAAATATAGCTTCTTTAGTTCTTTATCCCTTAAGTTATAATATGTAATAATTGATAAGTTTTACAGAATGAATGAAACGTTACCAGAAGTCACTAAGACAAATTTTTTTAACAATATTTCCATTTTTAGAACCTGATTGAAATCTTCTATTGTTGGATTAGTAAAATATTGTAAGTGGTGGCGTCTCGTAGTGAAGGGACTAAGACGGTGTATTGAGAAGCTAAATAATGCTTCATGGCTCGATACTTAAACCAACTAAAACAAACACCAATATATCAGTGTTTGTTTGTTTGTTTGTGTGATTGTTTTCTCGTCGAAGCATTTTAATAAGAGTAATAAAGGTGTTTAAATAAAGGTTAAATAAAAATCAACAATATACCACAGTGCTTTATTTGTATTCTTGTGACCGTAGGTGATCTTTGGCCGTACTGGAGGTGAGGCGCACACACACACACACACACACACACACACACACACACACACACACACACACACACACACACACACACTCACACTCACACTCAGATGCACTCACACTCCATTTTCCTTGGCCACCAGCGGAACTCAACAGTGCAAAGTACATTATTATATTTACAAGTGTATATAAGAGGGAGAGAGAGGAGGTGGAAGGGGGATTAAACAAGGGGGTAAGGGGGAAGGGGAGAAGGAAGGGGGAATAAGGGTTTAGAGAGGAGGAGGAGTAGGGGAAGGAAAGGGAGGATGGTGGAGGAATGTGAGGAAAATAAGGATAGGGATGATGAGGGAGGAAGAGGGAAAGAGGGGTTAGGGAGGATAGAAAGAGGAGGAGGAGGATAAGGAGGGAGGGAAGAGGATAAGAAGGAATAGGGAGGAGGATAAGGAAGGGGAATAGGAGGAGGTTGGCTGCATACATAGTTCATACATATAGAAATAATTACAAATAATAAGGTTAAGATATACATTTGTGTTATTATTATTCCTCCTAAAAACTACAAAAAATTCAACAGAAGAATTTTTATATAAACAATGACTAAATATTTATCTAATAATAATGTACATATAATTTTTTTGTTTTTGTTTACATCTCAAATGGATATAAGAATATGCCAGGACATTTATACATCTGTTTATAGTATCGTCAGTCCAGATTCTGTAAAGTGATGCAAGATGATGCGTTTTTGTTTCTGTGTTTACCTGTTGATTAACCCATTCCAGTTTTATTTCACCTGATGATTAAAACACCCTAGCGTTATTGGGATGGGGGGGGGGTAGGTTTAGGTTAGGTTTGGTTCGTTTAGTTTTCTGGTTAGTGTTAGGTTTGTTAGGTTAGTGTTAGGATGGGTTAGGATAGGTTAGTGTTAAGTTAGGTTGACGTTAAGGTGAATGATCATCAGGTGAAATAAGATGGGGTTCCTTATCATCAGGTTATCCATTTTTTATATGTCGTTAACTGAGGTTGGTCTCAGAAGGTATCTAGACCGGATCATTTACAGCGGTGACGCACAGTAGGTGGGCCAACATGACGTCTGAATTGCACTGAGACTGTACCATAGGTGAACCGTTCTCTTGTCCACAGTTAAGAAAGAATGTAAAATAAATTAACACATCATCTTCAAGAATCTAGATCTACACAGCTTTTAGTCCTTCGTAGACTCGGAAGCAGCAGCAGTAGTAGCAGCAGTAACAACAGCAGCGGCAGCAGTAGGCGCAGCAGCAGCGATGGTATAAATAACACATTGCGAGCCAGTGTCACGGGGTGTCTCTCGTATCACGGTTCGAGGTTCCGTCACACTTGGGGTGTTGACATCTCTATGTATGAGGGTTCGAATTTTCATATATATAGGGATTCGAATTTCCCTCTCCAATGTTCGAACTAGCGTATGCAAGGGTTTGAATCTCCTCATACTGTACAATGATTCGAACCCTCTTCACCAAAGTTCAAACTTACATATTTGAGACATTCGAACCCCCACTACAAGGCTTCCAAGCTTCATATAAAAGAGCTCGAAGTTCAATACATAAGGATTCGAAGCTCCAAAAAAGAGCTCTTGAGTTTCAAATAACTAGGATTCATTCCTACGGTAACCAGGATTTTAGCCTCCATATAATCGGAGTCGAATCCCTGTAGGAATCGAAGGAGTCGTATCCCTGATCCTACCCATAAGAGGCTTCCTACAGACGCCAAACCCTTCAAAATAATAATAATGAAAATTAATTGTTTATATTACGGTATGTATAATGTGTATGTGTGTGTGTGTGTGTGTTCATATCTATTTATACATGTGTAAGGGTGTGTAAGTGTGCTACATATACATGAATATATTATGTATATTAACTGTTTGCACTAAAGTTATATACATACATGTTACCAGAGTATCACAAGAGCTAGTGGTCGAGGTCAGTAATAATGTGGTGGCGGGTCCTACAAGTACTGCATCTGATGGTGAGTATCCGACATTTTCATCGTCAATATCATCATCACCATCATCGCTACCGCCGTCGCCACTATTATCATCATCATTAACAACATCATTACCACCACCACCACCACCACCACCACCATCATCATCATTACCACCTCCACCACCATCATCATCACTATCATCATCATCATCACTACCACCATCATCATCATCACTACCGCCATCGCCACCATCATCATCACCACCACCACTACCACCATCATCATCATCATTACCACTGCCACCGCCACCACCATCATCACTATCATCATCATCATCACTTCCACTATCATCATCACTACCACCATCATCATCATCACTACCGCCATCGCCACCATCATCATCATCACCACCACCACCACCACCACCACCATCATCATCATTACCACCTCCACCACCATCATCATCACTATCATCATCATCATCACTACCACCATCATCATCATCACTACCGCCATCGCCACCATCATCATCACCACCACCACTACCACCATCATCATCATCATTACCACTGCCACCGCCACCACCATCATCACTATCATCATCATCATCACTTCCACTATCATCATCACTACCACCATCATCATCATCACTACCGCCATCGCCACCATCACCATCTACCACCACCACCACCACCACCATCATCATCATCATCACTACCGCCATCACCACCACCATCATCATCACTATTATCACCACGATCATCATCACCACCACCATCAACCAGTCCAGTACCCCCTTCACCATGGTCCAAAGTCACCATAGCTCCATTATCTTCTACACCATAGCCAAGAGGAGACACAGGGAAACTCAACCTGACCTGACCTGACCTGACCTAATCTCGAACCTGTGTTCTTCCAATACAACTCTGATTCCCTAACTCTCTAAGCCACCTGTTTATTTACCTTATTACACTTTTATCATCTCAATTAAAAAATTTTCGTGGGTTCAAACTTGCGTCACCAGGGTTCGAACTTTCATCACCAAGGTTCGAACTTCTGTCACCAGGGTTCGAACTTCCATCACCAGGGTTCGAACTTGTCACCAGGGTTCGAACTTCCATCACCAGGGTTCGAACTTGTCACCAGGGTTCGAACTTCCATCACCAGGGTTCGAACTTGTCACCAGGGTTCGAACTTCCATCACCAGGGTTCGAACTTCCATCACCAGGGTTCGAACTTGTCACCAGGGTTCGAACTTCCATCACTAGGGTTCGAACTTCCATCACCAGGGTTCGAACCTCCATCACCAGGGTTCGAACTTCTGTCACCAGGGTTCGAACTTTCATCTCACTAGGGTTCGAAATTCCATCACTAGGTTTCGAACTTCTGTCACCAGGGTTCGAAAACTGATTGAACGATTTTATGATTTTTTCCCCAGTTATAGATGACTGATATTATAAGGATTTGTTTTGTTTGTTTTATTAAGAGGAAATTACATACATACATACATACATACATACATACATACAAATACACACACACACTATAACTGTTATACATAATTAGTACCTGGTAATGGAGTAATTTATTCAGTAATTCATTAATATATATCCACATAATTTCTGCTATGGAGACAATAATAAACCTCTCTGTATGTATATTCATTCAGTCATAATAAGAGTACAAACAATTTATAATCAATTAAAAGCGTTATAACAGGTAACTTACATCATCCGGCCAGGTAACATAGGTGTACGGCCAGATAAGACAGGTGTACGGCCAGATAAGACAGGTGTACGGCCAGGTAACATAGGTGTACGGTCAGATAAGACAGGTGTACGGCCAGGTAACAGACAGGTGTGCGGCCAGGTAACAGATAGGTGTACGGCCAGGTAAGACAGGTGTACGGTCAGGTAACAGACAGGTGTACGGTCAGGTAAGACAGGTGTACATCATCCACAACACTGATCAGCTTCACCTTGCCCTCTCTCTCCAACCAGGAGCGAACTCGTAACAATGGTTTTAAATTAGACAAATTTAGATTTAGGCGCGAAATAGGTAAACTTTGGCTTGGAAATAGAGTAGTGGATGAGTGGAACAACTTACCAAACATCATCATTAACTCGAATACGCTGGATAGCTTCAAACATAGGTTGGATGCTTATATGAGCAATAGGGGTTGGGTGTAAACGGGACTGCCCAGTATGGGCCAATAGGCCCGCTGCAGTTTCCTCCATTCTTATGTTCCTCACCTATGTCACCTGAGGCAATTAGGACGCACAGGTGGCTGGTAACACAAGGTATATGTGTACCAACGTGACTATGGGAGGAAAGTGACGTAACTATGGGGAGGAAAGTGACGTAACTGGAGCAGAAAGTGACGTAACTATGGAGCAGAAAGTGACGTAACTATGGAGCAGAAAGTGACGTAACTATGGAGCAGAAAGTGACGTAACTATGGAGCAGAAAGGGACATAATAGTGGGAGGAAAGTGACGTAACTGTGGGAGGAAAGTGACGTAACTGTTGGAGGAAAGTGACGTAACTATGGAGCAGAAAGTGACGTAACTATGGAGCAGAAAGTGACGTAACTATGGAGCAGAAAGGGACATAATAGTGGGAGGAAAGTGACGTAACTGTGGGAGGAAAGTGACGTAACTGTTGGAGGAAAGTGACGTAACTATGGGAGGAAAGTGACGTAACTGTGGGAGGAAAGTGACGTAACTATGGGAGGAAAGTGACATCTCTATGAGGCAGTATGGGACGGTAAGTGACACGTCCTCAGTGCGAGAAGGAACTAAAACGAAACACAAAAACAGTCTTTATTTACTCAGCGAATAAAGTTCATGATTACACTTTCAATCCATCTTTTATATCGTTGTGGGGTGGTGGTGTTTACGTCTGGTCTGTTTACATATCTCCATGACGTCACACACGAACATGTCATTATTACGTCACAGATCATACACGTCTTTTAGTTTTTCTCCTTATCACATTATTCAGTCATGTCTATTTATATATATTTTTTATCATTTCTTATCTATCTACCTCATTTGGTTACACCACTATCATCAGCTGTTTGTTTATCTTTCTCAAACTCTAAAGATAGAAACATTAATCTTAACATAATATTATCAGCTGTTTGAGGTCGAGTTCAGAGGCAGTGTTTATTTTGCTTCAGTGTGTGTGTGTGTGTGTTTCTCTATGCCTTGCTTTTTTCTGTTTTTCTTTCATTCATTTTCATTTTTTCATTCATTCTCTCTCTCAATCTCTCTTCTGCCATTCTGTCTCTCCTCTTCATTGATTCTCTCCCTCTCTCTCTCTCTCTCTCTCTCTCACTAACTCTGGAGGCTCACAACTTTTACTAAATACTTTCCCAAACTTGGAGTCTCCCGAAATCTTCAATAGTTGATCCTCTTCTTGTTAAGCCAATAAATTTCTCCCGGACTTTTCTCCAACTTGGTCACTGTGATCCGCGTCTCACAAGGTCGTGTATTATGCATAATTTTCTGCCAAACTTGGTTCTCGTCTTTCCTTGATCTCTCTCTCTCTCTCTCTCTCTCTCTCTCTCTCTCTCTCTCTCTCTCTCTCTCTCTCTCTCTCTCTCTCTCTCTCTCTCTCTCTCTCTCTCTCTCCTTTTCCTAGGTCTTTGAGATGGTGGGAGGCGGAGATCAGGATGAGGTAAAACGATTTCAAATATGGAAGGAGGTGAGGGGATGGAGGGGGGGCGGGGGTTCTCAGGGTGAAAGTGTTGCGCAAGATCGACATCACCCCCTCCTCCTTCCCTCTGGTTAGTATCTTTGGTGTAGTAGGTCGGTGGTGTAAGAACATAAAACTAAACTACTGTATGTTGTGCTGTGTGTGGGGTCCCTCTGGGGTGCGACGGAGAGGGGTTGAGAGGGCCCTTGTCATGCTAGCGACATTAAAATCCTCCACTAGTTGCCAAAGCGATGAGGGTCCCTCCAGCCCCTAGTGCGGGAGGTGTTCAGGAGGAGGGGCGGGCCAAGCTGGTGCTGGTAGGGCGTCACTAGTGAAGGCTCCTCAGAGGTTAGGTAAAAATGTTACACTCTTCACGTTTATATCAGCACCGTGAGGATCGTCATCACTGATGGTAGAGACTAAAGATTCTCAGACCTCCTGTAGAAGATTGGAGCCCACACACCAGCGGTAGAGATGAGAGGCTCCCAGACCTCCTGTAGAAGCTTGGAGTCCTCACACCAGCGGTAGAGATGAGAGGCTCCCAGACCTCTTGTAGAAGCTTGGAGTCCTCACACCAGCGGCGGTAGAGGCTAGAGGTCCTCAGGTGAACAGTGCAGGTGTGGCGATCAGCTGGAGGTAGTGAGGAGGTGTGTGATGGCGACGATCAGCAGGACAGAAGCCAGACAGGGCACGACGGTACCAGCACCTGCAGTAGTGAACACGGAAGAGGGGAAGAAGAGGAGGAGACATTAGTGAACACAAGTGATGACTGGTGACTCGGAAGGTGTCTGTTTTAATCGATCCTGTGGTTTGTGTTGTGTTAAAGTTCTTAAACTAAACCAAAAACTTGAGTCACCTGATGATAAAACACCCAAGCGGTAACCCAAGTGACATTCGGGTATTTAATTATCAGATAAAGTAACCTAGGGTGCCTAAACTTCAGGTGATCTATAAATTCTGTCAATAAATCTTCAAGCATTTTACGTGAATTTTTGAGCTAGACTGGAATTAGAGAATATATTGGAAAATAACAGGAAATATAAATAATATTACCTTAGTTTAGTGAATGACTTAATTGGGGTCACTTCAGTAATTAATTACCTCATCAGGTTAATTAACGTTAACCAGAGAACCATTAGCTCACCTGTTTAACGTAACCTTACCTGATCATCTTAAAGACTCACGTAATCACCTTATCTTCACCTTAATCACCTTGACCTCACCTTAATCACATTGACCTCACCTGTGTTGAAGTAGGAGGTGAATGCCCTAGCGGTATTAACCTCCATGGTGGCAGCAATCTGGGTCTCAAGTGTGAGGACCCAACCTTGGCACTCGAGGGTAATGGTGGGCACGTGACGCTCTGACAGGGGTAGGATGAGACGTGAACGGGTATTGTACACGCCGTAGTATGTGCCCTCTGTCGTGGCCAGTTCCTGTACCCTTCCTGACCCTGGCTGTTGAGGAAGAGGTGAGAGTGAGTGAGGGAGAGATGAGTGTGAGTGAGTGAGAGGGTGAGTGATTGGATGAGTGATTGAGTCTTTTGTGGTGAGTGAGTGATTAGATGAGTGATTGAGTCTTTTGTGATGAGTGAGTGAGTGAATGAGTGAGCATTGTAGCAAGAAGTTGATGAATGAGTCTTGTGTTTTGTGAGTCTAGTGTATTTTATTCATTAAGGCTCTTCGGTGTATAAATTACTCATCTCAATACTGTGCTGGGTGAAGGGGGAAACATTCAATCTGACTTTATTATGATTATCCACTTCAATTCCTTTCAGACAATGTGGAAGGTTAATTAACACTAGAGGAAAGTTAATTAGCACAGGTGGAAGGTTAATTAAGACTGGTTGAGGGTTTCGACAGGTGAAGGGTTAATTAGCACAGGTGGAAGGTTAATTAGCACATGTGGAAGGTTAATTAAGACGGGTGGAAGGTTAATTAACACAGCTGGAGGGTTAATTAGGACAGGTGGAATGTTAATTAGGACAGGTAAATGGTTAATTAGCACTGATGGAGGGTTAATTAGCACAGGTGGAAGGTTAAGTAAGACTGGATGAGGGTTAAGACAGGTGGAAGGTTAATTAGCACAGGAGGAAGGTTAATTAGCACAGGTGGAAGGTTAAGTAAGACTGGTTGAGGGTTAAGACAGGTGGAGGGTTAATTGGGACAGGCGGAAGGGCAATTAGCACAAATTGAAGGTTAATTAGCACAGGTGGAAAGTTAATTAGGACAGGTAAATGGTTAATTAGCACTGATGGAGGGTTAATTAACACAGGTGAAGGGTTAATTAGCAGACAGGTGGAGGTACTCACGTGGATAAGTTTGCCATTGACGTAGAAGGAGAGGATGGCGGGGGGCCTGGCGTCTCTGGCTGTACAGGTGATGTTTAGAGTGTCACCCACCCGGTACCTCCCTTGCAGACCAGTCAACACTGGTACCTCGGGCATCACTGCGGCGTAATAGATAGATAGATAAATAAATAGATGGATGGATAGATAGATAGATAGATAGATAGATAGATAGATAGTTATATATGTTTACAATTACACTGTAGTTTAACATCTATATAGAAAGTTGTTGTCAGGAATACGCGGGAAAATATGTAAACAAAACTATCAGGAATGCGCGGGAAAATATGTAAACAAAACTGTCAGGAATGCGTGGGAATATATGTAAACAAAACTCAGGAATGCGCGGGAAAATATGTAAACAAAACTCAGGAATGCGCGGGAAAATATGTAAACAAAACTCAGTAATGCGAGACATAAAGTACGGGCAGGGACAAAGAAATTTTGAATTATAAATTAGAATCGATATAATGTTGGAGAGATTTAGGTTTAGTTAGTTCACTAAAAGAGACAAAACTACAGAAAATGGGTAACAAAAATCCCATCAGATTTAATGAAAAATCTATACAGACGTCCTAAGCAGTTTATTTGATGTGTTAAATAGAGTGTGATAGAATTAATATTTATAGAGAAGTTGAGTTAAGGTTAAAGAAAAGTTTGGTTGGGTGGGGTTGGGTTAAGTTAGATTATGTTTGGTTAGGTTAGGTTGAGTTAGGTTAAGTTAGATTATGTTTGGTTATGTTAGGTTAGGTTAGGTTGAGTTTGGTTAAGTTAGATTAGGTTTGTGGGTTGAAAGTTAAAAAGGTTTGGTTAGGTTAGGTTAAGTTAGGTTAAATTGGGTTTAGTTAGGTTAATTTGAGTTGGTTAGTGTTAGTTTAGGTTGGGTTGGTTTGAGTTGGGTTAGCTAATTACACTAATCCATCAAAAGTATAAAAAATAAAAAAAATAAATAAATTAACAAATAAATTCAGAGCTTACAACAGTAATGCACTTACCGACCACCGTCAGGTTATTGGCCACACTTACTGACCAATCAGGTTATTGGCCACTTTTACCGACCACCGTCAGGTTATTGGTCACATTTACGACCACCGTCAGGTTATTGACCACTTACCGACCAGGTGTGGCCCACTTTGCCACCGTCAGGTTATTGGCTTAACTTACCGACCACCGTCAGGTTATTGAACATTTACCGACCACCGTCAGGTTATTGGCCCTACGATACCGTCAGGTTAACTTACCGACCACCGTCAGGTTATTGGCCAATTTACCGACTAATGTCAGGTTATTGGCCACTTACCGACCACCGTCAGGTTATTGGGCCACACTTACCGACACCGTCAGTTATTGGCCGCACTTGGGGTGGTTTGTGGCGTAGAAGGTCTGAAGGTTATGATTCACCATCACCTCACACCTGGGAGCTGCCCTCAGACCCAGGTCAGCTCGGAGGGTGACCACGTGTGTCTGAGTTGCTGAGCTGAGCCGGGGACGGGAGACAATGAGCGGTGGAGGGCGATATGTAAGAGGAGGTGGAGGGGGGGATGGAGGGAGGGCTATCCTGGACACGTCAGGAAGGAGGGTGGTCATCCTGGACACGTCAGGAAGGAGGGTCATCTTGGACACATCAGGAGGAGGGTTATTTGGACACGTCTGGGAAGGAGGAGGGTCATCTTGACACGTCAGGAAGGAGGGAGGTCATCTTGGTCACGTCAGGGGAGGGAGGAAGGGTCATCTTGGACACGTCAGGGGAGGGAGGGGAGGGTCATCTTGGACACGTCAGGAGGGAGGGAGGGTTATCTTGGACACGTCAGGGAGGGAGGGAGGGTCATCTTGGACACGTTAGGGGAGGGAGGGTCATCTGGACACGTCAGGGAGGGAGGGAGGCATCTTGGACACGTCAGGGAGGAGGAAGGATTATCTTGGACACGTCAGGAGGAGGAAGGGTTATCTTGGACACGTCAGGAGGGAGGGGGAGACAAGGTGATGGTTGGGGAATGTACGTATAGTGATGCACACACACACACACACACACACACACACACACACACACACACACACAGAAAAAACATAGCCACACAGACATGCAGACACAGACAGACAGACACACAAAGACAGACAGACACACAGACAAAAGCGTAAAGTGCCACTTGTGTTAACAGAAAATTTGTATTCGTTTATTGTCAAGTTTCTAAACAAGTCAACCTCCAACCTCCGAGTCTTAACACAGCCTCCAAACTCTCGTCTTAACACAGCCCCAAACTCTCGAGTGCTTTAACACAGCCTCCAAACTCGAGTTTAACACGGTGCCTCCAAACTCTCGAGTCTGCTAACACAGCCCAAACTCTGAGTTTTAACACACCCCAAATTCTCGAGTCTTAACACAGCCTCAAACTCTTGAGTCTTAACACAGCCTCCAAACTCTCGAGTCTTAACACAGCCTCCAAATCTCGAGTCTTAACACAGCCTCCAAACTCTCGAGTCTTAACACAGCCTCCAAACTCTCGAGTCTTAACACAGCCTCCAAACTCTCGGAGTCTTAACACAGCCTCCAAACTCTCGAGTCTTTAACACAGCCTCCAAACTCTCAAGTCTTAACACAGCCTCCAAACCTCGAGTCTTTAACACAGCCTCCAAACTCTCGAGTCTTAACACAGCCTCCAAACTCGAGTCTTAACACAGCCTCCAAACTCTCAAGTCTTAACACAGCCTCCAAACTCTCGAGTCTTAACACAGCCTCAAATTCTCGAGTCTTAACACAACCAAACCTCTGAGTCTTTAACACAGCCTAAACTCGGAGTCTTAACACGGCCTCCAAACTCAAGTCTTTAACACGCCTCCAAACTCTGAGTCTTAACACGACTCCAAACTCTCAAGTCTTAACATAACCAAACTCTGAGTCTTTAACGGCCTCCAAACTCAAGTTCTTAACACAGCCCAAACTCTCGGAGTCTTAACACAGCCTCCAAACTCTCAAGTCTTAATATAACCAAACTCGAGTCTTAACACGGCCTCCAAACTCAAGTCTTAACACAGCCTCCAAACTCGAGTCTTAACACAGCCTCCAAACTCTCAAGTCTAACACAGCCAAACTCGAGTCTTAACACAGCCTCCAAACTCGAGTCTTTAACACAGCCCCGAAACTCTAGGTCTTTAACACAGCCTTCAAACTCTCGAGTCTTTAACACAGCCTCAAACTCTCTGAGTCTTAACACAGCCCCAAACCTCGAGTCTTTAACACAGCCTCCAAACTCTCGAGTCTTTAACACAGCCTCCAAACCTGAGTCTTTAACACAGCCTCCAAACCTCGAGTCTTAACACAGCCTCCAAACCTCGAGTCTTTTAACACAGCCTCCAAACCTCGAGTCTTTAACACAGCCTCCAAACTCTGAGTTTTAGCGTTTGAGCAAACTTGAAAGAGACAGACAAACACAGAGAGAATGAAACAAACACACACAGACACACACACACACACACACACACACACACACACACACACACACACACACACACACACACACACACACACACACACACACACACACACACACACACACACACACACACACATAAATAAAACATCTCCCCAGCAACAAAATAATTCTTTACAATTCAAAAATAAAATCTGCCAGCTGAAAAATTCTGTCCATTGAGAAAGTAAATTCCCTGTCCAGAGAATTATGACGGTAGAGTTACTGTCACTTTGTCCAACAAGTGACAGTTTCTTAATTTAATTGTATTGTGCAGAGGTTCGGTCAGGGGAAGACATTTAAATGGTTACTTCTCTTCTTGAGGCGGATGTGTTGGGACTCTCTCTCTCTCTCTCTCTCTCTCTCTCTCTCTCGTGTGTGTGTGTGTAATCCTTTGTCTCCACACCTCCACTCTTTATATTTAAATTTCTTCCATTCATCAATCCAAATATCTAACTCTATCATTATATACACACACACACACACACACACACACACACACACACACACACACACACACACACTCTACTCACCTCAACATTAACGCCATTTATGTTGTGGTCAACCTTCACCTGCGGTTTGTTCTTGGGGACGAAGCTGTAGAACTGTTCATCGTTCTTGTACCACCTGACGGAGTAGAAGCCCCTGTGTCCTGTTGTCCACTGGCACTCAAGGGTAGCCGGGCGCCCCACTACACCAGGCGTTGGCACCACCACCCTCTGTACGTTCACTCCCGTGGCACCTAGGGGGGAAAGTTATGTTTTAAGAGTGTTATCTGGTCACGTAGGGGGGAGGGGAGGAGAGGGGGAGGAGGGGGAGGAGGGGAGAGGGGAGGAGGGGGAGAGGAGAGGAGAGGGAGAGGAGGGGGAGAGGGAGAGGAGGAGAGAGACGTGAACAGAGGAGGATATTAATGATGGGACGGTAGAGAAGGAGAGAGAGAAGGATGGGGGAAGAGGAGGAAGGTGAGGGAGGGCGAGAGAGAGGAGGAAGAGGAGGAAGGTAAGGGAGGCGAGAGAGAGAGGGAGGGAAGAGGGAGGAAGGTGAGGGAGGGCGAGAGAGAGGGAGGGTAGAGGAGGAAGGTAAGGGGAAGAGGAGGGAAAGGGGGAGGGAGGGGAGGCGAGAGAGGGAGGGGAGAGGAGAAGGAAGGAGGGAGAGAGAGAGGGAGGGAAGAGGAGAAGGTGAGGGAGGAAGAGGAGGAAGGTGAGGGAGGGCGAGAGGAGGGAGGGAGAGGGAGGAAGGTGGGGAGGGGGCGAGAGAGGGAGGAGGAAGGAGGAAGGTGGGGGAGGGGAAGGAAGGAGGGGAAGGTGAGGAGGGCAGAGAGAGGGAGGGAGAGGAGGAAGGTGAGGAGGGGGGGGAGGGAAGAGGGAGGAAGGGGGAAGGAAGGAGAGGGAGGAAGAGGAGGAAGGTGAGGGAGGGAAGGAAGGAGGAAGGTGAGGGGAGGAGGGCGAGGAAAGAGAAGAGGGAGGGGGAGGAAGGGAGGTAAGGGAGGGGGGAGAGGGAGGAAGGAGGTGGGGAGGGGGGCGAGAGAGGGGGGGGAGGAAGGAGGAAGGTGGGGAGGGCGAGAGAGGGAGGGGAGAGGAGGAGTAGGGAGATGGAAGGAAGGTGAGGGAGGGCGAGAGAGAGGGAGGGGAAGAGGAGGAAGGTGAGGGAGGGAGCGAGAGGGAGGGGGAAAGGAGGAAGGTGAGGGAGGGGCGAGAGAGGGAGGGAAGAGGAGGAAGGTGAGGGAGGGCGAGAGAGAGGGAGGGAAGAGGGGGAGGAAGGTGAGGGAGGACACTACAGAGAGGGAGGAAGGGTAACAGACCTTGATCTGATCTTTGCATGATAGTCAAGGCAAGTGTCAGCAAGTGTCAGCAAGTGTCAGCAAGTAATAGCATCAGAAAGTGTCAGCATTATACCATTCCACTTCTATAATATTATTTCCCGTCATCAAATATTATGAATACAAAAAAGGACAACATTGAATTCACTCGTAAAAAGTCAAAGTGTAGAAGCCTGGACCTTTTTTATAATATCTGTGTGAACTGAATCTATGATATAAAAAAAATTACTTTTATAACCATATTGTTTTTGGTGTATTCATTATGGTCAATTATAATTACATAATTAATCAGTTCTTTATAAACTAATTGATATTGAATTTATTTTTTTAAATATTTTCTAAACAATAAAAAATTCATAAAAAAAGTTATTGTCGTTCTGTTCGCTTTAAGATTTTTTTATTATATGTAAAAAATAATATATATATGTGTGTATCCCCTTTAAAGCACTGTTGTTGTTGTTAGCTGTTGTTGTTGTTAGCTGTTGTTGTTGTTAGCTGTTGTTGTTGTTGATGTTTTATATGCTTCACCAATCACCAGAGTCATTAAACATCGTTCATTAGGTCATACATTCAAACAACCATTTAGAAAAAAACATCTAATGAAGAAAGCTACATCACTCAAAAAGGTAATTATCATTTTTTTATTCATTATTTTCTGTCTCATCGAATAATTATGATGATATTATTAACAGAATGCTAAGCTAAATAATAGTCTCGGTCCCAGCTTACATTAACTCCGGGTTTCAACTAATGAGAAAGGTTCGTGTATAATAGACCAGTCAGAGAGGCCGAGATATAATAGACCAACCAGAAAGGTCCATGCATGATAAACAAACGTCTGAATCCACCAATCAGGAGAGACTAACGCTAGGTAATAATCTCTCTCTCTACGGGTTCAAGTTATACGATATATCATGACTTATATACGTCACAGTGCCACAAGAGTGCCAGTGCCTATAAGGGTGACTGTGCCATAGGAGTGCCAGTACCATATGAGTGCCAGTGCCTATAAGGGTCACAGTACCATATG